GCCCTAGCTACCTTTGTTAAGGGTAAGATTTTTGTACCTCACGAGCAAGACAGACCAATCTCAGTCACATTAGCTTGGAAGCAATCACCCACATTCAAATACATTCGGTTCTATTACTTGGAAGCCTTATTAGCAGACCATATGGAATGTGGAGAAACTAGATGTCAACTACCCCTAGCGATGTACTAAAGCCCTTTACCTTCAATGTTCATTCTTCCAAAGAGCAAAGGAAGTGACAAGTTGATGGTAAACCCAATGCTTCAGTATTAAATTGTGAGCGATTCTAATGGCCTTACAACGAGGGGAAAAAACGTCTCCTATTACGCTGGTATGTCATTAACGTGAATGAGCAAGTACCATGCATAACCGCGTCAGGAAAATGAAAATGATTCTTCTCCCAATTGTCCGGGCAGTGGTTTCAGGTACCCAATTTCCGGTGTTTCGCAAACGTTCGCTTTCTTCAGTTGGAGTTGACTGCTTAACATGAAATTGTCTATGCCAATGGCGGACCAGTAAATGAATACCGCGGGCGGCTACCTCGGCAAGACCTTCTAAAGGCAAAGATCGTCGACGATGCATCGGCTTGGGGTCGATGGGTAATAAAGCGACTTAAAATCAGGCACGAAAGAAGGCAGTCATTGGAGTTATAAGTTCTTCTACTGTGGTGGACTAGAAGTACTCTAGAAATTGAGCTGAGTAGCGTTAAAAACTGAAGCAAAGTGAAAAAGGAGGGGCAAAAAGGGAGTACCGGCTCTGAGAGACAAGTCTACTTCGTTACTCTGTTCTCAGATGAATGACTTCACAGGCCAGAGATTAGCATATGAGTTGTGCCCGTTTTATAACACCCTCCAATCCCTCACTACGCATTTCGTAGAAAGTGATGTGACATTACGCAACCTCATAAAAATTCCAAAGTTACCCCGACTTTTGAAATAAGAGCCCTTGTGTGCAACATGAGATAGAATCATATTTGACTGTGGAATTAATTTCGCCATAAATCGACCACCACAACGATGGAATAGAGGTTAACGGTCAGCCGACTGACGCGTACGTCTAACCCCTAGCATCAGTGGCCATTGGATGAATCGGTTCTAAGAGAACTTCAATCTCGCAGTTGCTAGCTCGATGTTCCATCAAAACGTCACGAGGGAGGCATGTTTTTGTGTGCACACACAAATCTGTCATAAAGACTGCATTTAAACAAAAAGGTGAAGGAAAGCCTGACCGTGCCAATATCCGCATGAAAGAGAACCAAGCGAGTAGTGTAGCCATAACTGATGGCATCAGAAGCGTAGAGAATAAGCACTCACCGGTACAAACGATAGGGAAAACGTCTTTTTGTAAGTCAAGCACTTAAAAAAATGCGTTAAAAGGCGACTTACATAGTCTGTATGGGCGTCATGAAGGTTGGCACAAATCTGCTTGAGCAGTCCATAGGCGTGGACAAGATCTCGCGTGGCTGGAGTGAGGCATTTGTTGGCCAAAGAGAGAATACTACATAGAAACGAAAAGAGAAGACGCTCCACTAGACAACTGGTGAAGAAGGCAAGTTTGCGCAAATGATTTATAAGTAGGCTACCTGAGACACCGAGTGTCAGTAGTGTTGCTATCACTTAGACCGTCGATGAGGTAGTTCATGTCGTCCAAGGCATGCTGGATACTGCTACGCTCCTGACTCTCGTGGGAGACCTTTGTCTTGTCGCCAGCTGTGTACAACTGAAACAATGACAAGAAAGAGGACTCATCGGCCAACCACAAAC